CTCTTAGGGATTAAGTGACTCTTTTCCATACATTTGTATTTGGTTGATCATAACAAACATTCACAAATACTTGAGAAAGAGTAGACCTCATAGGTGTGAGTCATTTTTATTCAGTGTCAAGATGATGGTTTTGTTGCTCTTGGGATTAGGGGCTGCCTCCCAGTCATACAACGGCTGTGAAACATCAGTGGCCTAGCAGTTCCTGCAACTCCTTTTATTATCATGTACCGTTTGCTTTAACCCATGCTTATCTGCCCTCTGCATCTAAAGCCCTTCTGAACAAATCAACTGATTTACTCCTAACTAATCGCTGTTTATCTCAAGGCAGCCATGACCCCCACTCCTCCTTCCCTTTGTCCAAGTGAATTAGAACTTCAGGACAGAAGAGAGTGGCTATTTTGCCACAACCCTTCCCATTCCCGGGTCTTAATTTTACCTGGAAAGGAATTACTAGGTGTGTTGGGAATTGCAGCAAGGTTAGGCCATCTCTCTTGGCACATACTTTAGGCTCCTTTGATTCCTACTCCCCCTAATATCTATCCAGTATATTCAGCTGATAGTAAAATTGTTCATCTAGTTCAGTTTACCTGACGAGCATGCTTGCTTTTCCTCCTTTTCTACAAAATTAATTAAGTTAGCCTGTGTTGTCTTTTTAATTTTAAAAAGAAAATCTACTACCTAAGCAGTGAAACTATACATTATAGTTCATGTTACACGGGGAAACTGTAAAAATCATGGAATAAGTATTTTCCCCTCATTCATGGTAGCTGCATTCTCAGTGACTGCATGAGAAACACAGCCTTGAAAAAAGCTCTCCAGCTGAAACCAGTTTGGCTCAGTGGATGGAGCGTCGGCCTGCGGACTGAGGGGTCCCAGGTTCGATTCCGGTCAAGGGCATGTACCTGGGTTGCAGGCACATTCCCAGTGGGCAGTGTGCAGGAGGCGGCTGATCGATGTTTCTCTCTCATCAATGTTTCTGACTATCTCTCTCCCTTCCTCTCTGTAAAAAATCAATAAAATATATTTTTTAAAAAAGAAAAGAAAAGAGCTCTCCAATAAACATTATATTCAGCAATTACGATTTCTCTGAAAATTAATAGTCAGTGTTTGAGGACCCACACACAGGAGACAGTGTGTGCATATTAGTGGTTAAAGTGCTTTGACTTCAAGGTAGGCGAGACCTTGCAGCTCAACTCTGTGTTTCCACTTACCAGCTGTGTATCCTTGAACAGTTATTTAAATTCTCTAAGACTTCATTTCCTCATATATAAAATAGTGATGATGTTTCCAACCTGCAGGATTTTCCAAGAGTAAAATCAGGCAAACATGTAATGTGCCCAATAAAATGTCAGGCACATAGCAGGCACCACATAAATGGCAACAGCTGCTGGTGTTTTTTTTGTTGTTGACAAGCTGAGGGGGGGGAAAACTAACCTGGAAAGTTAGGGTTTTTTTTGTTTGGTTGTTTTAGGATCCCTTCTGTTAAGATCAATTTAGAAAACTTTCCTCAGAAGCACCATAATCCCCAGGCAGGAAACAGAGGGGGAAGCTGGCATTCTGGCTTCCATGCTGGGAGCCCACAGCCCAAATTTGAGACTTACTTCTCTCTACTGTTTTGCAGCATCATGTGGTGAGACAGGACTAACGGTCCTGGGCAGGTTAGGTCACTTCACTGCCCTGAACCATAAGTCACCTCACTTTTTATTACCAGAACCTTTTCATTGCTTGACCATTTCTTAATTTCATTTCTTAATATTCTTGCAAGGAATACAGAGTCTCTCTTCCGCTCTCCCTGTTTCTCTCCTCCATGGAAAGAACTTAGCGTCCCATGTGGGCACATTATAAAGCTGAAAGGGTTCAAGTTTATAATAACACAGTGAGTGATTGAAAGGTTGTCTATAGGCCTTCATGTTCCTCTTCATTCCCCTTTGCATTTCCATGTAACCTTTCTTTCAAAGAAGCAGAACTCATCTTTAATTGGCCTTGTGCCATTCACTCTTTTGTATCTAATTGGCCTGCTGGTTTCCTTTGCTTAAATTGAGCATTTATCCATCACAACTGGCAGCACATGTGATGGTGTTAAGAGGAAATTCCGCAGGACCCTCCCCGCACTGGGGAAAGGAAGCATCTGCTCCTTTCCTAACAGGATGCCGGGATTTAGAGGTCAATGTGTTTCTCCATCAAGGCTTAAGACTTTGGGGACCAGGGGAGTGCCAGGCTCCAAGCAGCATAATGAATGGCAGAGGCTGGCTGGCTAGGTTTGCCTGTTCTCTACAGCACTCTTTAGCATAATGAGCTGGGACTTAGCATGCTAAAACCCACCTGGCTTGGGGAGCGAGGCAGGCTGTGCCTCCCCCGTGCCCCCCTCCCCTTTTCCCCCTGGTTCTGAACTGTATTTTCATCTTGGAAAAAATCATTTATATTGAGGTCTTCATTAGTGACACCAGCAGGGTTAAGGCTCCATGAGGGCTGATAAGCTCCACGGCCAAAAAAAAGAAAACCCATCAGCCTTTACACAGGGAGCTGAAGGTTTAAGTTGCTTGAACTGGAAAGAGTCTGAAGAGGTGATTATGTGAAGCAAGTAATGTGTATCGGTAACATGGAATCAAATTATTGGGGTCAGTAACTTCCTGGCTTTCCAAGTGCATTAAATGAAGACATAACCTTGCATTTGCACTGGGTATTTCTTGATGCTGCGTCCTGTCAGCACCGTCCGGCCCTATGTGCTTCCCGGCACGTCACCTCTGATTTCATGGGATTATCTTCACTGCTGCTTTAATAGACATTCATGATCTTAAGCTTCCTTTGAACTCGCAGCAGGGCCATGCAGTCATTATTGTGAGCACTTCTGTGCTTTTTGTGTTCTATGCAAAATTATTACTCCTGTCATTTAGAAAGGTGGTTATCTCCTGCTCTCAGACTTCCAAAAAACATTTTGGAGGTCTTATTTGCTGGGAAGGGAAGTTCCTGAAGGGGAAAATCCCATGAATGTGAAAGACCATTTGGGGAGCGAGTATCAGAAAGGTGCAAAGGCAGCGAATTAGTATTTGAAAGGTATAGCGGACAGTGGTTCTCGAAGTGTGGCTCCCTGGACAGCAGCATCAGAATCCCCCAGGTACCTCACTCCAGGAAATGTTTATACATACCCAACAGAGCCTGTAATGATCATACCTACCATTTAATTTTTTGTTTGAATTAGCCTATCGTCCTTGATTTTAGAAAAAGAATAACGAAAGATGACTAATAAGCGATTCCTTTGTGCATTTCAGAAACATCCCCCTTGCCATAGGTATATCCATGGCCATCGTCACCATCGGCTATGTGCTAATGAATGTGGCCTACTTTACGACCATTAGTGCTGAAGAGCTCTTGCTTTCAAATGCAGTGGCAGTGGTAAGTCCAAGTTGGGGAAATGCCAATTTGAATTTAGGTTAATGAGTTGATGCAATTTTATACTAGTTCTTTCCAGCAGAAAAGGGTTTTGAAATTCAGTAATCTTTTCTTGACCTGAATGATAATGAGCATCTTAAAAAAATTAGAACACACCTTAGCATATTCCATTTAACTGATACAGCTAAAATCCTATATGATTTCTCTGTAGTGTTAATGTCATGTAAGACATTTCTGCATATACATGCTTGAAAACACATTTCCACATATACATAGTCTTCCAACATGTCCTTAAGGACAGGTAGGCAGAATTTAAAAGAATGCAGTTTGGGGTATGCAAATTGCAATTATTCTGTGCTCTTTCCCATTTGTAAACTTTTCAAACATTTTTCCCAAAGTACCACTTCAAGAATTTCCAACTTGACCGTATATGTTTGTTTTTTCTCTTATATCCTTTTGAATACTAGTCATGGGATATTATTAATTTGGGGGAATAATGAGTTATTCAAAGTTCACAGATATCATTCCTGTAGCACTTCGCAGAATAATAAAATGCTAATGTGCATTTTTAATTCCTTAAAAAGTGGATACTCATAATTTTACATTTTCCAAAATTTATGAGACTTCAGAACTGTCTTTGCTCCCAAAGGTCGTATTATGGGACTGTTATTCTGTGACACATACTTTTATTTTGTATAAAACCATAGGTAGTAAGAGAGCCTTCACTTATGACCTCATAACAATGAAGGGGGGTAAAATAACTTCCAATCATTAGCTGTCAGTTCCTTTAAAAATAGTCACTATTACCTCATATCAGCAACATCCATGGGGAACAAATGATCTCATTTCACATGAACCTATGTATGCGTTCACTGCAGTTAAAAAAGGCTTCAGCCAGTGCTGTAAGTTCTAGCAGACACCCACATGTACAGGGCTTACTGCTGTCCGGCCAGTCATCTCATCTTATTGGACAGAGAGAGGGCAGCACTTATTCCTCGAGCGTAATGTGATCCATTAATTACACAGCACCAGCTGCATCAAGGACAAATAAAGAATCCCACTTTTTTTTTTTTTAACAATACAGCCTTTATGTCATGGCATAAAAGGAGATTTCAGAAGTTTTGTTTATCTGTTGTCTTTTCTGTGGCTTGAGTTCCTTGGACTTGTATTTGTAGTCTAGCCTCTTCATGGGAAACACAGAAGGAATTGCCAGATAATTGATTTGGTAAACACAGATTCAGCTGATGTGATTATTCTAGGCAAAAGATTTTTCAGAACATCTCATAGATATGATATCTGTGATTAAGTCATCAGTTATTTTCTGCGACACTTTTATGTCACGACGGTGGGATTGATATATGAAACAAGTGTCCATCATTCTTCTCAGTGTCCATTTGTGCTTCACTATCCAAATGTGGCTTTCCGGGCTAAAGAGAAGGTATTGTGCAAAAGGATTTCTGTCTCCAAAAGCAGAAATTTTTCTGAAGAAGCTTTTTCCACTTACCAGAATGATAGAAGATTTTGGCCACAGTTTATAAAGATTCGGTAAATGGATCGTTACCTTTTGAAAGTAAAGAATAGGTACTTGTTTAGACCTTTGCCCACATTTTTGCAACAAGCAATGCCATGGCACCTAATTTTGATTATTGTCTACAGAGATAGTCTGACCCTAACCAAAGAGAAGGATTATAAAACATACACATATCACCAGGCTAATAGAAAGTCATAGAGCAAGTCTGCCATACATTGTTTCCTTTATTCCACTTTCTGGCAAAGCACTAGTTCACGTCCTTCTGTCTTTCACTAGACCTTTGCCGAGAGGCTCCTGGGAAATTTCTCATTAGCAGTTCCCATCTGCGTCGCCCTCACCTGCTTTGGCTCCATGAATGGGGGTGTATTTGCTGTCTCCAGGTGAGTGAGTGCAAGCATTTTCAGAAATGTATTTCTGTTTTTGAGATTGGATGTGATAAGGATGACTTTACAAAGAAACAGTGCCTCCTAACCTGTTGTTTTTAAAGGGACAGGCAGGATTGAAGTCTTTGTCCAAGTAACAACAGCATGTCTCCTTCTGCCCATTAGAGGGCACTGCGCCTCTACTCATAGCCGAGTCTGAAGCTGGGCCTGTGGCATTTTTTTTTATAGTATGTCTACAGAGTCTAACAACAGCATTTTATTTCTGGTGATAAAATCTGTTGTTTCTCTAAAGGTGACAAGAAAAAAATAAAGTAAGAGATGCCAGAAATCACCACTTCACCCTATCGCTATCCCTATTGCTTTCTTTGATGTAAAAGTACCTTTTGTTTTAATAGAAGATTAAAACCCAATCAGATAAATATGAATGTTAGATGCGTTGTCATCCTTAAAAATGAAATAGCCAGTTGTTTACCAGAAAAATGAGATTATTCGGAAATAGCAGAGGAATCGCAATTCAGAACGTGCAAACTACGGCAAAACCACAGGAGCATCCTGAGAACAAAGGAGAGGGGCTTGCTTCTACAGAGGAAGGGGAGTCGTTGGGCATGGAGTTTTGATGGAAAGGCCGTTGGAATAGTGGGATTTCAGGGAATCCCACTGAGGCTTCTCTCCAGCTAGGTTATTGCTGGGCCAGGAGATAATGTCTGTTCTCCTGTTGGGGGAGTGAAGAAGGCTTCTTTCTGTTGAGGCCCTTTTAGGCCCTCCCAACTCTATTTTAAATGAGGTTTCCTTTATGCATGTTACAGTGTGTATGTACGTGTGCATGCAGAGTGCATGTGCATGTGCATGTGTGTGTGCGTGCGTGTGTGTGTGTGTGTGTGTGTGTGTGTGTGGTTTTGGTTGGATAGACAGCACACCTACAGTACTGGAACCTAGAACTATATTCATTATCAGCTATTCATATGTAGGGAGAGCCATGCTGAGTCAGATGTGGCTATTGTTTCTTCTCAAAGAAGAATATAACAGTTGGCAGATTTTATAAAATTCCGAGACAGGCTTCTCATGATGGTCTCTACCTTGTCTGAAAAGTGAAATCTAAGTAATCACCTAAGAAATATCAAACCGTTTGGGATGAAAAAGATGCAAGTTTTATCTTAGGGTTCTGGGATATTTTCCCCTCTGCTATGATCAATTATGCAGTCAACTCCACCCCTCCTGTTTTTCTCCCACCAGGTTATTCTATGTTGCGTCTCGAGAGGGTCACCTTCCAGAAATCCTCTCCATGATTCATGTCCGCAAGCACACTCCTCTGCCAGCTGTTATTGTTTTGGTAATGCACATTAACAAGTGTCTCTCGATATAACCTCTAATAGCAGGTTAGCAAAGCGGATCTCACCCAGACATCAGAGTGCGTGACTTTCTCATTCATTGAGAAATGGGCTCTATGGAGATCTTGGCAGCGTGTGGGAGGCAGGGTGTTTTCGCTGCTTCCCTTGCCTCAGTGTTGCTGATGCATATTTGATGGGGCAAGAGCCACATCACTGTTTCTTCACCTTTGTAGGAAGTAGTGAGGTGGAAGGGAAATTAGTTTGGCTCCTACCATTGACAAAGGACCTGGTAGAAAAGGATGCAGAGTAATAAATCCCAATTCTAAGTGCAAAGAGTGGAGTTAAAAACTACAGTCCAAAATGATCCAGATGTCGCATAGGCCCCTTATAATGAAACCACACAAAATTATAGAAAATGCAATGATGAAATTCTAGACAGTGCAGTGATTCAGTGATTAAAAGTGAGACCTGTGAGAGCAACCCTAGTGGGAAGAAATAAAAGCACCGACACTTAAATTTCAGTTGTAGGATTCTCTATGCCGAGAACAGTACCTGTGAAACGTGGGTTACAAAAGACTGCGTAAGGTGTAACAGTCCTCAAACACCCACTGGCAACGTTATGGTCCCTTTGTGCCTACCATTTTGTAACATTTTTCTCAAATGCAATCTGCTGCCAGAATTCATGGAACATTTCTTCTCCATGCATTTAATTTGTTTGAAAATGTTTCCTTGAAATTTCTTTGTAAAGTACACAGTACTCTTTGTGAGGAATCTGGAAGGCAGCGGTCACTTGTGGGGACAGAATGTATTATTCCGTGAAGAGGGCTCCGCTTTAAGCCTCTGCTATCGGTCATGCTGTCCTCGGCGTGCGCGGCAGAGACTCCCTGTGCTGATCTCTGCGCCGCGTTCCTTTGTGTGGTCCTGAGGGTCACCCGTGGCAAACACACGGGGAGAGGGAGCGTGGAGGAAGGAGAGGCCGACGTTTTGCATTCAGGGCCTGGCAGAGGCACTGAGAAGTGGCCCGTGTTTCATGTGTGCGTGGCCAAGAGCAACGCAGACCCCACTGGCAGAGCTTTCTGCAGACTCCCCCAGAGGGGACACTTGTGATGTTTATTATTATTTATTAGTCACCTCTGGGTCCTTACATGTTCAGTCACTGACTGTTACTTTGAAAATGTAGTCTCTTCTGTCCAATGTAAAAGCAACTAAACACCAAACATGCATATAAAATTCCTTCTCAATAAGTGGCAGGGGCAATGGCCTTCTCATTCTGTTACTGGCATAGAAAGGGATTTCCAGAGCAGAATATGGAAAGGAGGTTAGGTTTTCATCAACACGGTCGTGTAAGTAATCATTTGAAAAGGATAGTAAGAATGTCTAGGTATGTGATGCTTTGCTGTCACCCGTGTTCCCTGCAACTCACCGAGTGTGGTTTTGTCCCCCTCCCGCAGTATCCTCTGACGATGGTGATGCTCTTCTCTGGGGACCTCTACAGCCTTTTGAATTTCCTCAGTTTTGCCAGGTGGTTTTTTATTGGGCTAGCGGTGGCGGGGCTGATTTATCTTCGATACAAACGCCCAGATATGCATCGTCCTTTCAAGGTAACCTCAGCAATCTTGATGGGTTTACATAAATCTTTCTCCTAATGCCTAGGCCTCCCTCTGTCATAGCTTGATGATGGGGAGCTTGGGCGGGCGGGGGCACCGTCCTCTGTCATCAGGTGTTTAACTGTTGCAGGTAGTGCCTTCAGATTGGACCGATTTTCCCTTGGGAAATAGTTCATCACATTGTTTTATGTGCTGTGCTGAGCTCTTTAGAAAGAGGTGGTATTAATAGAGGATGTTTGTTACGCTGGTTTTTCATGACATGTCCAATGACCTGATAAATTCAAAGCATGGGATGCTCTGATCTACCTTTATGCTGAACATTTGTGGACAGCCAGACGGAGAAAGAGGGATGCCAATACATATGGAATTGTGTCACTCTTTAAAACTCTAAAATGGATGCTGCTGTACAAAATAGGCATTGTCAGTATTTTTAAAGGTTATGACTTATTACGTTGCTCTTTTTTTCTACATTATACACTCCAGAAGGAATAAAAATGTAAAATATGGAGGGAAAGCGAAGGTGTATGAACTTACCCCTTAACCGAAAGCACAGTTCCCATAACTAAGCATTCCTTTGGGGAGGGTTGAAGAATACCCTCTCACCTGTCTCTTTCAGCCTCCAATGTTCAGAGATTGATTTGGCCTCACTGTTCATTTGCTTTGAAGAAATAACAGATCAGTTTGTCAGTTACATTGTCAGAATTTGTTTCTAATTATATCCATTGCCTAATCCTGGCAACATCTTCATTAGTGGTCGAATAGGAGTTGGCCTGTTTTGTTCCTGTCCTCTCTTACTATGAATTTCCAACAGAAAATCAATTTTCCCTGAAAGGATTTAAGATGTAACTAGCAGCCCATGGTCTTAGCTCCACATTAAAGTGGACCCTAATCATAATTATCAAAGAGCTCATCTTTTAATACCAAAAACAGAAATTATAGTAGTACTTAAATCAGGACTTCTATAATGAAACACACTTATTTATCCTTAGAGTTTTTTTCTATCCGAAGATTTTTTTTTCCAAATATATTTTATTGATTTTCCACAGAGAGGAAGGGAGAGAGATAGTCAGAAACATCGATGAGAGAGAAACATCGATCAGCTGCCTCCTGCACACCCTCCACTGGGGACGTGCCCGCAACCCAGGTACATGCCCTTGACCGGAATCGAACCTGGGACCCCTCAGTCCGCAGGCCGACGCTCCATCCACTGAGCCAAACAGGCTTCAGCCGAAGATTTTTTTAAATTAAGGGAATATCGATAATAATAACAGTGTAATATGCTAATTAGACTGGACAACCAAACAACCTTTCAGATGTCCTTCCGGACGACCTTCCGGGCAAAGCCGGGGCTGAGTGGGCCAAGACCCTTGCAAGAATTTTGTGCATCGGGCTGCTAGTGTTTAATATATTCTCTGTGTCCTTTAAAGAGACTTTGCTACTGCCCAGCCAGCATGGCTCAGTGGTTGAGCATCGACCTATGAACCAGGAGATCATGATTCTATTCCCGGTCAGAGCACATGCTTGGGTTGTGGGCGTGATCCCCAGTAGAGGCATGCAGGAGGCAACTGATCAATGATTCTCTCTCATCATTGATGTTTCTATCTCTCTGGTTGTGTATGTCACCCAATGTCATGACTGATGGGCTCACCTTGAACCACTGTCCATCCCTTGCACTGTGTTAAAAGTGATTTTTTTTTTCTGTGCTGTGTTCCAGGTGCCGCTGTTTATCCCAGCTTTGTTTTCCTTCACGTGCTTCTTCATGGTTGCCCTCTCCCTCTACTCAGACCCCTTTAGTACGGGGATTGGCTTCATCCTCACACTGACTGGAGTCCCCGCATACTATCTCTTTATTATCTGGGACAAGAAGCCCAAGTGGTTTAGAAGACTGTCAGGTAAGTCTTTGAACTTTTTTACAGACCATGTTGTAGAAAACTCATCTATGTGTACACTCATGACACACATTTCTTAAAGTTCAAATTTATAAGTGGGACAGCTGCTAGTGTGAATGCGTTATTGCATTTTCATTAGAACTGGAAGAAAGAAAAGTGGAAAAATGTTTAAGGTGCAGCCGCTGACGGCTTTCAGGGCAGTATTCAGTTGGGATGCTTAGTCACTTCTTAGGACAATGGCTTTCATAGGAAGAATTTTATCAGCATTTCTGAAAACGGTCTCATTGCTCTTATGAGTCCCTTCCTAACCTGATTCCTTTTATTCTGGGTTGAATGCAGGTTAGTGATTCTATATCATAACAGACTACTTGATGAGTGATATGAGATTTGGTAGGGAGTTAGGCAGAGACCTGCAAAGGTCTTAAATATCATAATTACAACTCCACCCTATTTAATAGACATGGTAAGTCACACATGCGTCACAAGACCAGCGAGAACAAGGAAGAGAAGAATAACAGCTCTCATTTACTGTGTGATTCTATGGATTAGCACATACATGACCTTATTTATTCTTTAAAACCTGTAGGCAGGAAAATTATTATTCCTATTTAATAGACTTTGAGTTATAGCATGGGAGCTCACACCACTTCTTACACATCACATAGATATTAGGTAGAAGAGTTAGAACTCAAACTCAGGCAGTTTTATGCTTTAGAAAAATCATCCTAGAGGCAGGGAGGCTGGGTTAGAGGGAGTTGAGGCTGAAGACAGAGAATAGAGGTTAGTTGACTCAGTAATCCTGACGAGGACGGAGGAGGGTCTGAACTCGGCGTCAGCAGGGTCCAAGGGAAAGGAAAGATATTAAAGAGGAAACACCCACAGAGCTGGGTGACCAAGTAAGTTGGAGGAGAAAATAGATCAGTAGTAGGAAGGGCGCTTAGGTGGGAAGCCCAGCCCTCTGTCCCAGACTCTGCCGAGGGAGCCCTTTTCCCCGCATCATCATCTCTCTTAATCCTCCACAAGATCCCGAGAGAGATGGTGTTACTCCTGCGGCTGGGTGGGGAACTCGGGACTCAGGGAGTGGGGATTTTATTTTTGAGTTTACAGAATTTAAACCATTGAGCTAGGATTTGAATCCACGTCTGCTGGATGGGGTGCCTGGGGGGACGAGAGAGAGGGGTCAAAAACACAACCCGAGAACCAGATAGGTTCTTGCTGGTGAGTTTGGTGAGTTTAGAAAACAAGTTTTGTTCTCATTTGTTTTAATTTACTTATTTTACCATAATTAATTTTTTGAAGTTCAGCAAAAAGTTCAGAGAGATTTCTGGTAAAATTTGTTTAAAAATATTGTCAGTGCTATTAAAAAATAAAATAAAATAATAACGTGGTATACATATTGAATCTCGAGTGTGCTACACAAACTCCTTCAGAAGGCAGTCATTTAAAATAGAGTTTTGCTACTATTCCTCTTTATTAGTTTTTAATTGGTATTTGGTGTCTTTAGACCTTTTATATACTATTTATACTGAAATTTGTTTTCTAGCTGGCAACACGATTCCCCAAAGAAGTGTTACTATGAAAATTGGGTTCTTTAAGGCTAACACAGGCACACTGATCGCCTTGCAGGGCATTTAATCTGTATTTCTTGTTAGATCACATTCATTTTCTGTAGAATGGTTTTAGTTATGTTTTTCCACTTGTAGGCAATGCGATTCTGAAAAAAACAAGACTTGGTAAACAGTTTACTATTAGAATTGCTCTCCTCGTTATCAATGTTCAGGACAGATTAACGCTCATCACTATGAGATCTGTGTCTATCTCAGATCCTGGCCAGAGACAGTTAAAACCCTTGAGCACCATAGAAAACCAAGAGAATGCAGGATGGAAGAGCTGGCAGCCGTAGGGTTGGACCACATCGAGAAGGGAGCACTGTGAAGGAGCAAATTCCTTGCTTGCTCCCACGTAGTAGGCATTGTGTTCCTCCTGTTTGTAGCCAGCCTACTGCAATACTTCTTTCCTTTGGCTAACATGTGCGTACTTCATACCATGTTTTTGCGAGTGCATGCCTATTGCTATGTTCCATGCTTGATCTTTCTTTGATGTATTTTCCTGCTCATGTAATTTTCAAGTTTGGAGTTATTTTTCTGTCTCTAATGATGTTTTGATCATCTCCAAGGACTCCAAATTTAGTGTTAGCCACTTGTGAACGTAGCAGCAATGTAGCAGCCCCATAATGATTGTTTGGTTCTCAAAATGCCATTAAGCCTCACCAAGGAACATGACAACTCTGCCGTTTAAACTGCGATCATTGTCACCCTTTATCTCTACAGCTGCCTTGAAAGCCTTTCCTCAATTTTGTTTGATTTTCCTCTTAGGCAGCATTCTTGTAATAAAGTAAAAATTCAGAGTATTTATTGCTGCAATAGCCAGTATTTTCCTCGCCTTTGGCCAAAACAGAACACACACACAGACACACAGACACACAAAACAGCGGAGTCCTGATCCAGAACGTCACCTCTCCCCCCAGCCACCTCCTTGTCAGAGACAAACTCCTTGTGAACTTGGAGGCCAGAGAGCCTTGGGCAGTTTGTTCAGTGATTACAGATCCGGTTGTCTTGGTGGCTAACATTCTTTAGCCTCTGTATTATCATTTCTCTTTACCCGAATATACACAAACCCATTAGGCCTGTGAAATGCCGGTAAATCAGAACACACCTCACTGAAGGTGCTTCCATAAAAAACGCGAGGCAACCGGACAGCTCTCAGAAAACGCTGAAAGTCTGCTCAGCCCAGACAGCCAGGGCATGTGCCGAACCCGAGGATGGGAGAGGTTCAGAGATTTGATGAATTCCTGTGGCCACAGGATGCCAGTATTGAACCACGTTCTGTTTGACAGCATTGCTAGGGTGAAATGAAGAGGGGCTCTTGGGCTAGACACACAGAAAGCTTTCTCCTGCCATCTGTGACAGCGTGCTTAATTCTCCTGGCCCTTTATGTATTTATTTGTTTATAGAAACACCAGCTTCTCACCCAAGGAAAATGGGGCAGAATAGCCACTGATATATTTAGCAGGTAACCGGGTGATATCCAGCCCTGGCAAAACCCAGCCAGGCTCCCAGCAGCCACTTTACTTGACAGTCTGGGTTTATGAGCCAGACCCCGTCACGGCCGAGCGTGAGTGGGGTCACTGGAAGTTGGTCCCTGTTGCTCAGGGAGAGAGAGGAGGACAGCTGCATTTAAACCAAGTATTTGATTGTAGGGACTCATACTGGGCAGCACCAGCAGAATGACTGTATCCATCTCCGTGATGGTGACTAGGCAATGCCCCAGTCCTAAAAGCATATGCTGCTTACAGTGTGCTGTGGTGACTTCATGATTCCTCAGTGAAAGCTGCTTAGTGCATTGGACAGACGCTTCATGCAGACTGCAGTGCCACCTGTGAGATTAGTTAAGCTTGCCCACACTTCTTGGGGGCCCAAACCATCTTCATTGTAGGATAAAATGAGACCATTCAAGTGAAAAGTTTTGAGGTCTTTAAAAAAAAATACATGCTATTATTCTAATCCCGACTTCTGGGGAAGATGGTTCTTGTGCTAGTATTTCACGACTTCTGGCTGTAGTTCCTGTAATTGTACCAGGTGTGGTTGGGAAATCAGATTCTGCAAGGTCAGTTGTTTCAACTGGTTTCAGGAATACCTACTGAATATGAAAGGTAAAACTGAAAATACAATTGCTGTTTGGTCTTGTACCTTGTAGTGACTGTAAACAGCAAATATAGACTCGCTGGCTCTACTTTATTGAAAGAAATAGTATCATGGTTGATTATCCACAAAGCCGAAGGACTTACATGAGCACGAGAGTAATTGAATGCCACACGCCTGGGCTTTCCTGCAAGCAGGAGCTTCCTCAGAGGCTTACTTGTGTCTGTTGAGACCCCATCTAACAGCATAGCTGTAGATAACCTAGAAGAAAAAGTTGGTGTGGCTCAAATAACTACTCAGAGTCCAAATCAGTCATTCCATCCAAACCTCCATAATGATGAAGATTATCCAAGTCTTGAGCATAAGAAAGCCACAGGAAACATAGGACTGGTTGAATGTAGAAGAAGAGAAAGGAAGGTGTGAAGAACTAGAAGAGAGTCTTTGGCCCCAGATATGCTATTGAATAGAAGATCTAGACTGAACATTCAGGAAGGAGAATGTCACACTAGGAAAGCAGCAGGGTCCCAGCACTGCTCTCCCTTTGTCTAGACCCAATGCAGTGTTGTGACCTGGGTAAGCAAGTTGGCTAAGAAAACAAAGGGCTGATGGTTCCAGAATAGAGAAATACATTTTGGAAGAAGCTTCTGTGTGGACATGGAGGAGCAGATAAAAAAGAAGAAAGGAAAATCTCAGTAGATAAATGCATGGACACACACACACACACACACACACACACACACACACACGGCAGTTGTGGAGATAGTTCAGCTAGCTACAGCAGACTTCTCCAGTGAAGAAAAAAGGGTTGATGAGGATGTCAATTTAACCCCACTGTTTTGCATTTGACCACTGCAGACAACTACAACCCTTGTTTCACGTTATCAGATGACTCTAGCTTTTTCTCTGCCTATAAAGCCACCTCTTCCTGCTATTGATTGACACTTTTCTCCTATTTATTTTTCTAGGATAATTTTACCATTTCCCTTCCCTGTAAGCATGGAGTTTTATTGCTCTTGAGTGTTCCCTTGTGCTTCATGTACATCTCAATGTAGAATGGACTGTGACAAAATATAAAGTATTTGCAAAACATTTACATAGAGTTTACCATTTGCCAGAACTGTGCTGGGCCCTGTATCATCAATGGATAGTATAAAAGTTAGTATGCTGAGGAAAACAACTGTTACAAAGAAAATTATGGAAGTAAATATTGCTTGGAAGGGACTATTACAGGTGACAAGTCATAAAAGAGGAGAAATGCTATATGTCTAGATAAGAGATGATCTGGGTCTGAAGCCACCAAAA